CATTAGCCCACAGCGCCACACCTGGACTCCATTTCCATATATAAAAGGAGTTAATAAAATTTTCCTCAGAAAAGAAGTTACCTCATAATCAGGTCTTTACAAAGTTTCTTAAATGATGGCATGCTCTCTTAATTCCTTGATGTGAAAAACAAAGTAGTATTTGGGGAAAACAGTCTGAAAGAACATCAGTGAATGGTATTTATTAATATATATGTTTATCATCTGATTTTCATTGATAGAAAGCAAAACTTGAGTATCAATTTAAAACATTCCTGGGAGCAAGAATGAATATATGCCGGTACTGGATATTTGTGGAAATGTCTTTTGAGGATAACTTTAATAAGAAACAAAGGACCTGGCTAAATTATGGCTAACACATAACCTAGAAATTCAATTTTTATAATTTATTCAATAGGAATCTGTTGTTGTGTTGTTACGTGACATCGAGTCAGTTCCGACTCATAGCAGCCCTATACAGTGTTTCCAAGGAGCAGCTGGTGGGCTTGAACTGTCAACCTTGTGGTTGGCAGTCCAGTGCTGATCCTACAAAGCCACACCAGGAATCTTCAGTCACACATAGTACCTCTTGTTGCACTCATAAATTCAACCTTTTTGCTAGCTGCTGAGCACATTAACTGCATGCATCGACCAGAGACTCCAGATTATAAATTTTGAGTAAAACTGCTTCTTGAAACACAATTTATCAATTATTCCATGTTATTTTACATGTTAGCAAACTGAAACATTAAATATCAGAGCAAGACACTTATTTTATACGTTACTTAAAATTTGTATTTTGAAATAAGTCTACAATTTTCTTCTTTTTGGATAAATGGAATATACTTTTTATTTGAGGTACTTGTTTTCAGGCATACACAGGTGCTTCAGAAAGTTACTAGAAAAACATAATGAAAAGATAATGAAATTTTTTTTCACATACTTTTTGAAGCCCCGCCTTGTATGTGCTTCTCTAGTCATTTAAAGAATCTTAATTAGTGGTACACTGCTTACAGAGCAAGAAAGAATTAAGCAATGATCATGAAATAAATGTGAAGAAAAAACCAACTCAGAAAGAAAGAGACCACTGCATTATTTTGGGATTACAGAGTGGAACTGGCATGGAATAGCTGTTGTTGAGTCAACCTGGACTCATAGAGGTTGGTCCCGTGTGCGTCAGAGTAGAACTGCACTCCACAGAGTTTTCATTGGTTGACTCTTAGAAGTAGATAGCCAGGCCTTTCTTCCAAGGTGCCTCTGGTTGGACTCAAAACTCCAACCTCTTTGTTAGCTGCTGAGTGCATTAACTCCGACAACCAGGGATTCCAGGATATTAGTTATTTTGCTGCTGACATTGCTGGCCATTGGAAGCCCCATCATTTGATTTTTAAAAATCA